ATAATTAATAATAAATAATTAATAATAAATAATTAATAGTAAATAATTAATAATAAATAATTAATAATAAATCATTAATAATAAACAATTAACAATAAATAATTAATAATAAATAATAAATATTTAACAATAATTATTGATAATAAATAATTAATAATAAATGATAATAAATAATAATAAATAATAATAAATAGTAATAATAAATAATTATTAATAAATAATTAATAATTAATAATTAATCATAAATAATTAATAATAAATAATTAACAATAATTAATAATAAATAATTAATAATAAATAATTAATAATAAATAATTAATAATAAATAATTTATAATAAATAATTTATAATAAATAATTAATAATAAAAAATTAATAATAAACAATAATAAATAATAATAAATTATAATAAATAATAATAAATAAAAAATAATAAATAATGGTAAATAATAACAATAAATAGTAATAATAAATAATTAATAATAAGTAATTAATAATAAATAATAATAAAAAATAATAAATAATAATAAATAATAACAAAAAATAATGAATAATAATAAATAATAGTAAATAATAATAAATAATAATAAATAATAATAAATAATAATAATAAATAATTAATAATGGTAAATAATAGTAAATAATAATAAATAATAAATAATAATAATAATAATAATAGTATATATAATAATAATAATAATAATAATAATAATAATAATAGAGTAAATAATAATAATAGTAATAATAATAATAATAGTATAAATAATAATAATAATAATAATAATAATAATAATAATAATAATAATAATAATAGTAGTAATAATAATAATCATAGTATAAATAATAATAATAATGGTATAAATAATAATAATAATAATAATAATATTATAAATAATAATTATAGTAATAATAGTAATAATAACTTTAATTATAATAATGGCAGTATTGGTAGTACTCCCCCCGTTCGTTCGATTAAAAGCACTGATAGATTGTATCCCAATTTTTCTCGGGGAGAAACTCTTAGACCTACGACAAACGTATGCAAATCTGTAAATAAATAATAAATAATAATAGAAAATAATACATCAAGTTTTGAGTATATGGCAAAACCTTTCGACACAACCAACAATTCTTTAAATGGTTGTGTTGAAACTATAAATGAGAAGATTGGCCGTTTGAGGTCCGATTTTCAAAAGGCACCTGTAAGCCAGAATTTTCAACTTAAAGATACGGCTATAAAGATGGACTTAATTTGCAAGAATATTTTTATAGTGAATTGTTATATTCCTCCTGATTCATCCGAGACCTATGCAAATTTGTGCCAGGCTATTGATTATATTAATTCTTTCATGAATTCAAAAGATGAATTACTTTTGTTTGAAGATTTTCATCTTCCAAATATTTCCTGGATGCTTCATGATGAAGAATGCTTTTTGATACCTGGTTATATTACAAATGATTCTGAGGCAATTTTCATATATTTTTTAAATATTAATGGTCTGTAATAAATTTCTAATAAAGTTAATTTTCAAAACAGGCAATTGGACTTGATTTTTACTACAGATTGGTGTACCTTAATAATAAATAATAATAATAATAGTAAATGACGGTGGTTTACCTTTAATTATTGCAGATAATTATCATTCTTCAATTTGTTTTTCTTTTATAATTATAATTATAATATTCTTTTATATTATATAATATATTTTATAATTATAAAAGCTAAAATATGTTCGATGTTTGTTTTAAATTTGACTTTTCTAAAACCATCTTTACAGCATTAAATGATTATCTTCGCACTATTAACTTTTCACCGACCGTATTGTATAAACAATAGGTAGGTTATGTCATGGCAACAAATTTTGCATATCGAGTTTTCGGTGGGAATGCACTTCTCCATAGTATGGAAGTGTAAATAAACTATTTTTAGCAACCTGTCGGTCCGTCGGTCCGTCGGTCTGTGTGTGCACGCGTGTATCTCAAGTTCGGCTAACTGGCGAGCATTTCAGTGAATTCGGGTAGCACAAAGCAAAATTCTACTAAGAGCCAAATTTACATTTTTCTAGGTATGTTAACTATAAACTTTCTAGTGTTCTAAAAATATTGGAAATATTTAACAGACATTTTTATAATATTCTGTAACACTTTCACTTAACTGGACAATAGACATTGCGGTCGGTTATGTGCTGACCACATCAGATTTTTTTCTCTTTTTGCTAATTTGGGGATCAATGAAATGGTGGCTAGTTTTTACAACGTTCTAAATCATATCTTTATCTTATTTTCTCCTATTAGACGTGATAGATTCGTTGAATCTTCCGCACCGTTCAAAAAATTGAAAAAGAAAAAAATCCGAGCCTGGAATTCATATATGAAATATAGAGATGAATATAGATATATATCCATCTTTATAAGGCCTTCAGTCGAAATACGACAATTACCTTGTTATTATAGGTCATCCAATTAAAAATAATCCAAAGTCTTTTTGGAATTTTGTTAATTCGAAAAGAAAGTTTTTTTTTCCAATAATTCATTTCATATTACACAATTCTTTCGTGATTTCTTCTTCACCTTCTTATTCTAATAATATTTTTAATATTAATTCTAACACTTTTAATCATCTTAATACCTTTCCAATTCTGCTGATTTCTTCAATAGATTTTTCCATTTCTCGATTAAAAAGATATTTGGATGCGCTTGAGCAGATTGTTCTTCGAGGCCTGATAATGTTCCTAAAATAGTACAAAAAAAGTGCTCTTTATATCTGTCTGGTCCGCTCTCAATTTTGTTTTCGTTCACTTTCTTGTGGTCGTTTTCCGGAATTTGGGAAGGAAGTATTTATTCGCTCTGTTCATAATTACTATGTTATCTTCCATTCCTAAATTATTTGAACTTATGGTTTTTGATTCCAACTATGATCAGAGTTCGGGCCTTTTGGTGTCGAATCAACATGGTTTTGTAAAAAAACGATCAACCATAAGTAATTTAGTAGATGTGACTTCTTTCTATTTGAATGCTACGGAAAAGAACTCATGTGAATGCTATAATCAATAAAGCCAACTCAATACTTGATTTTGCAAAAAGGTGTGGTAAAGAATTTAATGATCCTTATATTCTGAAATCTTTGTATCATTGGTCATTCTGAAATCTTTATATCATTGGTTCAGTCTAATCTTGAATATGCAAGTAAAGTTTGGGCGCCACATTATTCTTTGCATTTAGGAAGACTTGAGGCGGTTCAAAGGAACTTTATTTAATTTGCATTGCGTTGTCTAAATTGGCATGATCCATTAAATCTGCGCCGCATGGAAACCGATCTTAAACTTTTAAGCTTTAATACTTTTGAATCTAGAAGAATCGTTGCAGATATTTTGTTCATTATCCAGGTTAAAAATGGGCAAATTAATGTTACAAGAATTAAAATATTTGTTGATTCTAGCTGAAATACCAGTACTCGGTTTAAGTTAGAAAATATATTTATTACGGCTTTTCATCAAACAAATTATGGGAAATATAAACCAATAAATAGGAGGCTTATTAATGTTAATAAATATAAAAATATTATTGATTTGTCGCAAAAGAGAGAACAACTAAAAAAAGTTTTGCTCTCCAACTTATCATAAATTTGCTTTATTTGTCTGGTAGCTTTTACATTTTAAGTTTATCTTGTACAAAAACAAAAAAATTTTTTTTTTGATTATTTCTGTATTGAAATAGATTTTAGGATAAGTATAGTTGTATAGTTTAAGTAATTGCTTAATTATGTATTCATTTTTTGTTTTCTCTTTTTATGTAAATTTGTTTGAGTTAAGTAAATGAATAAACAAATAAATAAATCTTTCTAAAAAGTGGGGTAATGTCGTATGAATTTCAAAACTCTAAAATTTTTGATGTACAGTTTTGGGGAAGAGAATTACTCCGAAAATACTTTTCGCTTTTCAAAAATTTACATAAAAATGTTTTTAAATAGCATTAAATAATTCTATAGCAGCTGTATGAAACCAGTTAGCAAGTCAGATTGACTTGCTAATCAATTTTCGTAAAGAACAAATCATTTCTTTTAAAGAGCTGAGTAGAACAATATTACAAAACAATATTTTCAAAGCGTTCTACTTTTATGAAGTCGGTTTCCAATTTTTAATAAGTTAAACTGCATGTATTAATTGTTTTCTCTTTAAAATCTATTAAATATATTTGGTTGTATAATAAAATGTATGCCTGCATAATGATTTTTACCATCCACATTGTATGCAATAAGATAGGTATGTGATGGTCCCAAATGTTGGATGTCGATTTTTCAGTAGGAAGGCACTTCTCTATAATAGGGAAGCGTAAATAAACTAGTATTAGAGAGATGTCGAGCTGTCGATCTGTTGGTCGGCATGTATCTCAAATTCGGCTGAACCGATTTTCATGAAATTTTATATGTAAGTTTATTTTGGCTAGCGATTGATCAACTTATTGGAAACTGGACCTTTTTACGGGTCAAGTATCAAGAGAAATAATCAACAAATTCTCTTGAAATTCAATGTTTAAATTCGAGGTATTAAAACAATAAATCTATAAATGTTTTGGAAAGATCAAGACTCGGAAACCGGACTTAGGGGCGATTTTACTTTTTTTTACCATATCTATGACACGGATTGATGGAATTTCCTGAAATTTGATGCTTGAGTTCTGGTTGTTACCGAAACTAACTGATGAACTTTTGAGGGAATTTGGGTGGCACAAAGCATAACTCTACTAGGAGCTAAACTTACGCTTTTCTAGGTATATTAACTAAAAGCTTGCTAACTTCCTTAAAATTTAAAGGAAGTATTCATTTTATAATCTTTTGGAACACTTTCAAACTACACACACATATCAAACTATGTGTGTTGTGTTAATTTAATTTGTGTTCTATTGTTTGATTTAAAGGACAGCAAGGCAAAATTAATAAAAAATAAAATTTTCACATGATTTATATTTTGAGTAAGTTTGAAAATTTCATACTTTTTATAGGTTAAAGTGCGAGAGGCTACGTCTAATGATCCATGGGGTCCATCTGCGACTATTATGGCAGAAATAGCTGATCTAACGTATAATGTAGTAGCATTTTCGGAAATAATGCAGATGATTTGGAAAAGATTAAACGACCATGGTAAAAATTGGCGGCATGTTTATAAAGCTTTGATTTTATTAGAATACCTAATTAAAACGGGGACAGAAAAGGTAGCTCAGCAATGTAAAGAAAACATATTTGCAATACAAACATTAAGAGAGTTCGTTTATTTCGAAGAAAATAAGGATCAAGGAACCCACGTTCGCGAAAAAGCGCGACAATTAGTGACGCTGCTAAAAGATGACGAAAGATTGAAAAATGAACGGGCTAAAGCATTAAAAGCCAAAGAACGTTTTGCTCAACATGCAAGTGGATTTGGTAGCGATGGTTACGTAGAAGGACCAACGCATAGAGAAACGCCTACTAGTTGGGCCGAAACAGAAACGAAACCAACGTCGGACATCGAATTTGTTAGACCACAAACAGCAGGAGAAGAAGAATTACAATTGCAATTAGCAATGGCCATGTCGCGTGAAGAAGCTGAACAAGAAGAGGCGAAGCGACGTAGTGACGATGTGCGCTTACAATTGGCGTTGAGTCAAAGTGAACAAGATTTTAAGTAAGTAAAATTGACCGCCGAAGTGTTTTTTTTTTGATTATATAACAATACGGATTTTAGGAAGAACACCAAAAGAGCAGAACAAGAACAACCACAGCAAAGTCACTTAATGGATTTATTAGATATTTCACTAGGCGCTGCTAGTATTTCGAGCAATGCACTTGGTGTTCGAGCCAATGGTGGCTTAGATCCATGGGTTCCTCCAGGCCGTGCTGTTAGTCAGGTACAAGATTCGTTTTAATTTTCTTCTAAATATATACGAAGTAAACTGTTTGGATATTACAGCTTTCCGATCCATGGTCAGGAGCATCTTCACCGCAAGCCGAACCTTGGCCCTCTAATTCACTAAACGCAAGTAAACCTACGAATAGTTCAAACTTAGACAATTGGCTAACGTCTAATCCAACACAACGTACTCAATCCCCTTCGGTTACATCCAACTCATCTACTGAAGGATGGTTGCAAAGTAATGTAGTGTCTGGAAATGGAACTCTTAATGGTCATTCAAATTTAAACCCAGACCCATGGCTACACAAAACTTCTCCTAAAACTAATAATAAAACTATGCCTGATCCATGGCTTCTAAAAGCTAACTCAGTTGAAAAGCCTGAGGATCCTTGGCAACTTAAAATTGATCCATGGGCTCCACCAATAAGTGAGGTAAAACAAAATATAAATTTATGAAATGAAAGCTATGTGTTTATTGAAATTTTATTAATAGAAACGACATTCACCTCTTGGAGCAATGACTTCTCCAACATCAGATATGGATGATTTTGATGTGATATCCAATCGGAATAAGGCTGGACAGGAGAATAATTTTAACAGCGGCAACAATAATAATAGTATTTTTAAAAGTAGAGATATAATATTTTATAAAATACTCATACGAATGTATTATCACTTTTAGTATTATCACTTTTGGATGAAATGGATCCTTTAACAGGAAAAAAAATTTTAAAAACACCTCAATCATTCTTAGGAGAGAATTCATCTCTAGTAAATTTGGATAATTTAATAAAACCAGTATCTTCTAATAGTGCTGGCATAGGACATGCTTATAATCCATTTAACGATTCTTCAACTTCAATTATTTCCCAGCAAGGAATAACGATTCCAGCGAAAAATAATTTGTTCCAACAACAAATGCCTTCGGTAATTATGTATTAAATTCTAAATTTTCTTTGTTATTTTGTTAATCTTAAATATAAGATTATTATATTTAAACTTAATAATATAATATATATATATTACATATGAACTACTTTACAAAGACGTCTGTCAGTCTGTATCTGCACTCCTACATCTCAAACCGAGGAATGCAGACCAGTTTTCATGAAAATTGATATCTGAGTTTATTTTGGATGGGAGAGGGGAATCCACAAAAACGTTTTGAATGAATCTTAGTTATAAACGAATTAAATATCTAATATTTGTATTCACCTAAGGTGTCTTTTTCGTAGGAAAAAGTACCGCTGTATTATTAAGGACGATGCTAAAAAATAAACGCTTTTTTAAAAATACATATTCTTGCTTAGAATCAAGTTTTATGTCAATGTAGCCATATCCATACTAAGTTAACCGAAGGTTATTCTGCATATCGCTCAAACATCTACGTGTACCTTTTTAACATTATTATTAAAACGTTAATTTGAGAACGCAAACAAGTTGAGCCTTGAAATTCGACAAAGATGAATTTGTTATTGCACAAAATTAGTAACGATTGGTTGCTTTAACCAGGATTAAAAAGGTACATTTTTCTCCAATGTCTCTGAAGTTCCGAGAAAGGTCTTTTGAAAAATTGGGCTAATATGGTCATGACATTTGCAAGATAAAAATATAATATAGTTTTGCTTCCAAACTTCATAATATTTTTTAAATTGAGCTATTAAATATAACTTATCAAGATAGCTTAAAATGGGCGGGAATTTAATTTTAGCAAAGACCAAAATTAATTTTTTTACTTGTTTCCCTGTATCTCTTAAATAATCTGCTTGAGTTCTGATCGAGAACAGCTGGTTCCAGTCCAAAAACAAGACGATATAACACTAATTTTTTTTTTTTATTGGTGTGAAAAGAAAACTTCCTTTTATTCGGAATAAAATACTTTTATTTTTCGCTAATATATTTCGTGCGCTACATACGCACTTTATCACAGCTGATTTTCTTCTTGAAGAATGATTCTTCTTGAAAAATATTAGCGAAAAATAAAAGTATTTTATTCCGAATAAAAGGAAGTTTTCTTTTCACACCAATAAAAAAAAAAAAATATATTTCGGAAAAATTATCGGAAAAAAAATATATTTCGGAAAAATATATATTAAAAATATATTCGGAAATTATATATTTCGGATAATATGTATATATCTTTTATGTCGGACAATTTCTATGAAATACGCTACCAGTTTTAGTATGTCGCTTTATTGCATGATGGACGCAAGTTTTGCTTATGCCCAATTTATTAACAATAACTCATGTTAGGTTTATGAAGACCAATCACCTGAAATAATTTAAAATTAAATTGTTAATTTAAAATTAATAGATATACATATTAGTCACACAAAGCTGAAGAAAACCGTTACCTGCCAAATGATCTGAATTTTGCATGATCGACGGCTTTTTCCCCAAAATTAATACTTTCCCGATGAATGCTTGATTTAGAATGCAGGAGTAACAGTTTTAATAACTATGGCCTAATAAATTTTTGTTTTCCACAAAATGCATTTTGCAAGCAACGAACCACACAATAAAAGCGACACAATAAATTCTTTACCTGGTATATCAAAATAATGTTTTGCAAGTATTAAATCTTTAATGGCAATTGGACTTAATCTATTCCGATCATTAGATTATTTTTATTAATAAAATTAAATGTTTTCAACTTTTTTCAAGAAGCATCTGCATTTTTCAAGCATGTCCTGAGAGTAATAAATCGCGTGAAACAATTCTTTTTATTTTCTAAGACTAATTCTTAATCAGAAATTTGTTACCATGTTGTTTTTTTGGATTAGAGTAATCCAATTAAAAATTGTGCCGAACACAAGATAGAACAGAATACTGAAATAAACTAAGTTGGTTGTTATGTCTACGTGGTCTGTCGCAACCGCAAGTATATCATATCACAACCACCGGGTTATCATCGAACTTATTTCTTCAAGTGGCCACTCTGGCCTTTTAAGGAATCCATCTAAATTCCCAACATAAGTCTTTGATGTGGGTCTGCCTCCGTCCAGGATCGAACACTCCTAGAGATAGTGAAAATGGATCTCCTCCTTGCCCATCTCCTGGCAGCATTAAAGAGCAATCCTACCCCACATGCTCCTTCAGATATTTTCATAATTTTATGAAACATATGTGATCAGTGAACTGTTCAGAGCAAATTTTTAAAGAAATTAATTATAATATTTACATAATAAATACATAGTGTGTATTTCTGTTTTTAGTTATCAAATGGTTTTAAAATATTTTCCCTTGAGAATTTTAAAATATTTTAAAATAATTTACTAACAGGTATATTGCTACTATTACATAATTGAATTCATTTGATATATTTATATATATATTCATTTAATATATGTTGCTTTAATTAACTTATATTTAATATATGTTGCTGTAATTAACTATTCTGATTCTTTAACGTTTCGTTGTATATCCGATGGGTGAATTTTTTTACTTTCTCTAAGAGAAAATGAAGTTGAATATAACGAAAACATGTAGTTTTATATTGAACTGAATATTTTAAAATATAAAAGGAAACGTAACAAATAAAATGTAAATTGAAGGCAAATAAGGTTTACAACTCCTTATAAAAGTTTCTTTATTGTTTTTAATTACCTATTACGTAAATAAGGAAACATCAATATTGTAGATAATATTATTGTGTATTTTAATAAAACGAGCTTAAAACATTTTAAAAATTAAATTTTCTAGGTTCCGTCCATTAACCAGCTTAAACAGCAACAATCGTTTCCAGTATCTCTGAATCAAGATCCATGGACTCCTAATAACAGTTCCAGTTCTACTGCGCAGGTATATATTTGCTTGAAATTTTGAATTAAAGATTGTAGTTGTATAATTTTAAAGTTCTTTATTCTAAAAAAAAAGAGCATGAGAATTTTAAACGAAATAACAAAAAACAAGTAAAAACGTTTCAGTCGGTATAAACCGATTGAATTATACCCTGCACCTTTCGTTATTATTTAGCAATTACGCGAACCTGTGAAATCATTCTATAGAAACTTCACGGACATCTTATTATCTTGTCCAATTATAGGACATGTCTGACCTATAATTGGACATTTGACTGCCAAGTTTCATGAATCTGACTTTATAATTTTTCCAAATATTTAAAATTAGCTTTTGGAGGTGTATGGAAAGTACCCGAACCTGTCAAGCAATTGCACTCAAACTTCACAAATATATCTGATCTATAATCGGACACACAACTGCCAAGTTTAATGAAACTGACTTTATTATTTTTCCAAATATTAAGAATAAGCTTTTAAACTTGTATGGGAGCTACTCGAACCTGTTAAGCAATCCCACCAAAACTTTAGAAATATGTCTGGCCTATAATTGGACACACGACTGCCAAGTCTCATGAATGTGACTTTACTATTTTTCCAAATATTTAAAATAAGCTTTTAGACTTGTATGGGAGCTACTCGAACCTATCAAGCAATTCCACCAAAACTTCAGAAATATATCTGACCTATAACTCGACACACAACTGCCAAGTTTTATGAATCTGACTTTATTATTTTTTCAAATATTTAAAATCAGCTTCTGGAGTTGTATGGCAGGTACCCGAACCTGTCAAGCAATTCCTCCAAAATTTCAGAAATATATTTGACCTATAATTTGACACATGACTGCCAAGTTTCATGAATCTGACTTTATTATTTTGTTGAATATAAAAAATTTGCTTTTGGAGTTGTATGGCAGCCTCCCGAACCGGTGCAGCTATCCCATTATAGTTTTCAGAGCATGTGTAGAATATAATTGGACACATGTATACAAAATTTTATATTTATAGCTTTATTAATTTTTGAAATATTTAAAATAAACTCTTTAAGTTGTATGGCAGATCCCCGAACCGGTTGTCCGAATTAGTCCAATAACAATAGGGTTCGTCCTTGGCACAAAAGAAAAAACTTGGGAAAGTTTGGTGTCGATTGCATTATTCGTTTTTGAGTTATCGTGCGATCGGACGGACGGACGGACGGACATGTCTAAATCGACTCAGAATTTCCATACCAAAGTTAATATACCCTTCACGAAGTGCAGGGTATAAAAAAGGTTCTCTGAAAATTTATGGTATTGTGACAGATTATAAACCTTCTAACAAGTTATTTATTAGGGAAGCTTACTATAAATCGTTTAAATATTATAAAAATTATTTGTTATCAGTTATCACCATAAATTTTGCATAATGGGTAAAAATATTTTTCACAAGATATAGAGTACGAACTTTGAAAATTGAAAGAATTATATATAGGGTGAGTCAGAAAGGTATACAACAACATATATCATTGGTTAGAGGGTAAAACTTTTGTTCCGGAGTAGGTGCGAAATCTCAAGGTTTTCCAAGTTGAAGGGATTTTAACTTCCGTTCCGAAAAAGATAAGGGCTTCAAACAAACGGTTTCTGAAAGGTCTAGTAAAGGACTTAAAATAAGCATCTTACTTGATTATGTATTACGAACCTTTGGAAAAATAAAATTTTTCCCACTTTTAATTTTTCAATTTTTTCTAACCAGGTAATTTCGTTCGAAATTTTTTGAAGCTTTGAATTTTTTTTTTTACAGGATTTTGGCCATTTTCTCAAACCTTAATTTTAGTCACTAAGTATTGAAAAATATTTTATGGTACAGAAGATATAGTACGAAAACCATTTCTTAGTTAAGATTTTAATGCTTATTTGAGACCTTTACTAGACCTTTCAGAAATTGTTTGCTTGAAGCCCCTATCTTTTTCGGAACGGAAGTTATAATCAAAAAAGCTTAGATAACTACAAATTTCGTGAAAATTCTTTAAAATCCCTGGAACTTGGAAACCCTTGAGATTTCGCACCTACTCCGGAACAAAAGTTTTACCCATTTTCGACCCTCTAACCAATGATATATATTGTTGTATACCTTTCTTAATCACCCTGTATATATAAGGAAAGAAATAATGAGCTAACATGAGTTAATGCACAGTAGTAAAATAAAAATAAAATTAAAATTACAAGATCAATTTTTTTAAATATGAGTGCTATCTCCAACCACAAGCTTAAGATTACACAATTAAATGACATATTAAGTTTTTACAAAAAAACTTTATTTTCACAGGATGTCATCTCTTAATGAAATCTTTTATTGTTTGCTGGCCAGTGCGCCACAAAATCAGGGATTTGCTCAAACATCTCATATTTACTCTGAATTTCAAAATAGATCAAAAACACCTATATGACTGTTTCTTGATATGCGTTATCTAAAGATCATACACCGTATACCCATTATAACGTTGCCACTTTTCAGACTATCTCTCCTAAATCTGATAGATTATCTCTCCACCCTGAGACTTTTAGTTCTGAGAGAATAACTACTAAATGGAGTCCACTATCGTTTAACGCGGCTGCTATGCAATAAGTTTTAGCGGGCTATAACTTCTAATCAAACTTATTTTATTTATAAATGGGGGCTATTTCTTATGTTAGAAACACAGGAATGGAAATTAAACAACGGATGGCTTCTGCGCTTCTGCGATTACCGCTCTTAATCCCCTCTACAAAATGAAAATTCACCTTCTTTTCTTTCCTTGTTTATGGAGTCGAAACCTTCAAATCGTCACCTTATATTGCATCGTTTGTGCTATCAAATTGGGTGACTAGGTTCCTGATTGTCCTCAATTTTTCTTCACCCCGAATGGGGTTCGACTTCTAGAAAATTTTCCAGACAGCTTCGTCGGCGGCGTTGAACTACCGAATTGCATCAGACCGATGTCGACTTATTGAATTTCTTTCGTCAAAACGAGCTAAGTCGAATTCTGACTTGAAATTGACGCAGTTGATCAGAGATTGATCCAAAAGTATTTTCATGCCTTATATCCCTGTATTCCAGCACCTAATTTTCCTCAGACTTCGTTACAGCTCGGTTATCAATATGTTGTTTCAACGAAAGCAAATACGTCTAGATGCCAAGTAAGCGTACTCGTATTATGCCTGTATGTATAAATTGCCTGTATTCTGTATAAATATATACATATATGAAAAGAATACGGGTATAATCGGAAAGTAATCGATGCAGCATCGATGCGTAATCATTCAAAAATCATGTGCGAAAATGCATCAATACGGTAACACTTTCAAAGTTTAGCGTCCAAAAATGTCAAAAATAGGCATCGTATGCGTCATTTATTAAATCAGTTGTGCATCAATTTTTTTTGTGATTTTGTGTTGATGCAGAGTTTTAAAAATGGATGCTGAGAAGTAATTAATTTACTATTATAAATTAATAACTAACAAAGTTAATTTTTTTTTGATAATATTAACTTTTAGTAATGAATTAACAAAAAAAAAACGAAAATTGGACGGAAGCCCAAACAAAATTATTATTAACAACGCGATTAAAATATGAAACAGATTTCGTAGCTGGCAAAAAGAAAAAAGGAATTTAATGGAGAAGAATTTTCAAAGAAATTAAAAAGAATGACCCAGATTTTCCTTTCAACGTGTAAGCGTTACATAGAAAATTTATATTAATGTTTTCAGATGTCTCATATATTAAAATTCCCAAAACTATCTTTAAAATTTTTTGTTTTAATTGATTTTCCATGGTTGATAATATTTTAGCACTTTTAAAGAAAATTTTTTCAAAATAAATGTCAAAACACATATGATTTAGAAAATGTCCAAAAATGTCAAAAAATTAGTGCATCAGTAAGGTAAACGCATCACATCAGTATAGTATCAGCAACTTTTTTTTGCATTGATGCTGTATCGATGCGCGTTTTTGATTACTTTCCGATTATACCCTACATATTAAAATTATTGTTTTCATCAAATAATTCGCTCATCTCAAACTTGCTTAGTTTTTATGTTGGACCCATGGTGGTATCCACGTTTCTACCTTCCAAGGCCCACACAATCGCCTCATTTGAAGTGTTGTCGAAAGCCCCCCCTGTTCTTCTACTGTCCTTTCCAGCGTGCTAGTAAGGCGGCTCAGCGGGTTCCTCACCAAAACCTCAGTCCGGACATAATTGTTTAAAGAATAAAATGCCGAAATCCCATTCATTCTCGGCGCCTTAAAGGGTTGGAAAGTACCATAAGCCAATCTTATCATTTCGTCTGTAAATATTCCCACGACACAAGCCCGCCGAAGTGGAGGGTATGGGATGCATTCCCATATTCCTTCTGTCAGCTGTATTACTTCTTTTGACTCATGTCTCTCAATAAGCTTCTCAATAAGCCCCTTCCTTTCTTTGGACAATTTCCTTGCCTCCTCAGGTGACTTTCTCTGCTCTAGGAAACACAGGTACCACCTGGCACCTGCCTCGCTGAGTCCTTGCCACATCCGATCATCTGGTATAACACCATTGGATTGGCGAGGTGGCTTATTAAATATAAGTTTACGCTGTTACTTCATTTCCAGGTGAATTTCTTAGTTTTCGGGTCTCACTTTTGACCTTGTCGGCATGGTTGTTCCTGCCAGGCTCCACGTGGATGTGGTATCCGCCGACATCGCTCTCAAATTTATTGACCCTACCTACAGTGCTGGAGGGACTTACACCTAAGTTGCGACGAAAAAACTGTCAATTGGAAAATTATAGTAACTGATCACTATGAATCTTTTAGAAATTGTTTAAATCTCATGATGACTTACCAAGATCTGGTGGGCAGAGAAAAAGATTTTATTGCCCTCGAGAAACTCGATAAAGTACTAGAAAGAATAAAAAAAAATCTGATGTGGTCAGCACATAACCGATCTCAATGTGTATTGTCTAGTTAAGTGAAAGTGTTACAGAATATTATAAAAATGCCTGTTAAAT